CAACAAGATGGACACAGAGCGGCTAGCGAAGGCCCCGGCTCGGAAAGAAGAGCGTACGAGGCAGGCCGCTGCTGCAAGAGGCTCCCCTTCGAGGCCGCCGGGCCTCCGCCCGGAGCCGCCCGTCCGAGGCTGCCCGTCCGAGGCCGCCGGGCCTCCGCGGAGCCGCCCGCCGTTGCGACCTTCACCTGGCTGTGAAATGACATCCGGCCGCACCACAGCGCAGAAGCCGCCTCTCCGGATGCGGCGCGGCCACGCCCGCAGCTCCCCGCCCTCCGCGGGGGCGGCGGGCCCAGCACAGGGGCGCCCGGCACACGGAGAGCCGGCCTCGGCCCCGCACGCCAGCCAGGAAGTTCCGCAATCCCGGGCCTCCTTACCTAACTTCCGGAAGTCTGGTCCTCCCACAGCCCTCCTTCAAGCCCGGGCCTCCGCGCCTCCCTCCCGGAAGCCCAGGCCATCCCTTCCCTCCCGGAAGCGTGGGCCTCCGCGCCTCGCTTCCCTCCCGGAAGCGTGGGCCTCCGCGCCTCGCTTCCCTCCCGGAAGCGTGGGCCTCCGCGCCTCGCTTCCCTCCCGGAAGCGTGGGCCTCCGCGCCTCGCTTCCCTCCCGGAAGCGTGGGCCTCCGCGCCTCGCTTCCCTCCCGGAAGCGTGGGCCTCCGCGCCTCGCTTCCCTCCCGGAAGCGTGGGCCTCCGCGCCTCGCTTCCCTCCCGGAAGCGTGGGCCTCCGCGCCTCGCTTCCCTCCCGGAAGCGTGGGCCTCCGCGCCTCGCTTCCCTCCCGGAAGCGTGGGCCTCCGCGCCTCGCTTCCCTCCCGGAAGCGTGGGCCTCCGCGCCTCGCTTCCCTCCCGGAAGCGTGGGCCTCCGCGCCTCGCTTCCCTCCCGGAAGCGTGGGCCTCCGCGCCTCCCTCCCGGAAGCCTAGAGCATCCGACCCGCATCCCGGAAGCCCGGGCCGCCCGCTCAGGTTTGGATGCCGTCTAGTCCGGAGCTGGGTCGGCAGCTCGCCTGACCCGTGAGGACGGCCCCCGAGGAGACCGCCACCGCCGGCTCCCGCCCGCCCGCGGGCCTCCCGCCGTGTGGCAGGGCTGCTAGGAGCCGCCAGGGCCACCCAAGTCCCTGAGAACCCAGGAACCCCGCTGGAGGAAGGTGGGGCGCCAGCTCCCCCCGCTGTCCGGCCGGCAGGCGCCTGCAGCGCAGGCCCCGTGGGGGCTGAGGGTCCCTTCCCTGGGCCCACGGCCGGAAGCGTAGGCCATCCGACGTCACTCCCGGAAGCCCGGGCCTCCCCGCCTCGTTCCCGGAAGCCCGGGTCCCACGCATGCGCCCTGCGGAGCGCCCGCCAGGGAGTTCGTGGACAGCACTAAGTGGAGAGGACGTTTTATTGAGCGCGTGCCGGGCCCGAGGCCGGCGGCCGGCCTGGCGAGCAGCCCGAGGCCGCGCTCCCACTGAGGGCCGCGGGTTGGCGAATTCGAGCCGCGGCTAAAGGCCCGCGGGCCTCGTCCCCTCCTTGTCCTCCTCCTCCTCCTCGTCGTCCTCCTTGTCCTCCTCCTCGTCCTGGTCCCCGCCGGCCTGGCCGCGGGGAGGCGAGTCCCAGTCGGGCTCTTCCGGCTGCTCTTCCGGCTGGCGGGGCTCCTTCAGGGTCGTGTAATCCTCAATGAACTCCCTGAGCCTCCTTGGAACGGCGGAAGTGACGTGGGGAGGTAGAAGGAAGATGGTCAGAGAGGAACAGCGCTCACAGACACACCCTGTCCCCCCTCCGCTGCTCCGCAGCCAGCGGGCGCGTCGGAGGGTCCCTGCCGCCCGGTGCCTGCGCCGGCCCGGAGCCCGGGCCCCCGCGCGGGCGGCCTCTTTCTCCCGGGGCCCCAGCCGCATCTCAGGAGCTGCTCCACGGGCCTCCTAGGTCTTGGTCCACACGTGGCCTAGAACCTTCCCCATGGCTTTCGCTGCCTTGGGATAGAGGAAGTGGAATATTTTGGTTTCTGGCCTCTCACCACTAAGGATGGTACTGAAACCCAGTGTTGGTGAATGAGACATGATAGGCGTCTGCTTGTCCTTCCTAAACGAAGCAGAAAAGCCTCCTTGCTGACGCTCTAGTTGTCTGTCCTGTGGCCCCTTCCTCCCCTGATCCTCGGATGCCTGAGGACAGCCATGCACGCTCCCGCTGGAAAAGAACCACCAAGGAGGAAGGAAGAACTCTAGTCCAGACACCGCCATCCAGTGGCCATGTACACCTCCTGGGCTTCTATGATGACACAAACTAGCTTTCAAACGTTTAAAGCATCATGGTTTTCTCTTTGATCCAACCATATCAAATCTAGAAATTTACACCTTACTAATAACTTTTAGAAAACTGTGCAAAATACAAGCATATTACAGATAATATAATCCAAACATTTACTTTTTTGTGTGGGTTGCATTCAGTTCCCAGGTGCTATCCCAGAATTTTATTTGCTCAAGGCTAGCACTCTACCACTTAAACCACAACTCCATTTCCAAGTCTTTTCGTGGGTAAATGGAGATAAGAGTCTCATAGAGTTTCCTGCCTGGGCTGGCTTTGAACATTGATCCTCACTTTAGCCTTCTTAGTAGCTAAGATTACAGGCATGAGCCACCAGCAACTGGCTCCATTTACTTTTTAGATTAAAATATGCATTGTATTTTTTGAAGATTTAAAAGAGTAAAAATAATGTAATTGGAGAAAATAAACCTACCCACAGCCATTTACCTCACTGCTTTCCTAATTCTTGCCTATGAAAATCCACCCCACCTCTTTAGCTTTGACCAGTGAGTTTAGTTCTGTATTGCTAAATGTCATCTATGTGTTGAGGCTAAGGATTTTGAAGCACAGGAAAACATATAATATGTACATTTAAACTTAGAACTCTTGAGTGTTAACAACACAGAGATCAAGCCTTCTTTAGTTTTCAGTGTTTGAACTTGAGAAGAGCATAACAGTGTTACAATTCCTTATCAGGGAAAAGCTTACCTCTCCTCCACCACAGGAATGTTGCTCTTTCCTATCATCAACTTCACATGGATTTCAATGTCCTACAGAAACATTTAAAGCTTTTGGTCATCTACAAAGGTATAATATACTAATAGAAATGAGATTGAATCCAAACAGACTAAAATCAGTTGCAACACATTAATTCATACTACACATAACAGAGATACACACCTCCATAGAAGAATGATAGTTAAGTCACAAATCATTAACACACACTTTGGAGAAGTATCTTCAAAGTTGCTGGAGGTACCAGTGCATTAAATTTTTTATCAACAAAAGCATCACATTAAATAGTGGATGGGTTAGAGAAATAGTTATGATTAACATCCAATCATTAAGATTTAGTATTGTTTTTAAATTGACACATGAGTGTACAGCTGTACAGACTGTTTTTTTTTTTGTAATATAGAGTTTGAACCCAGTGCCTTATGCTTGCTCCAGAGGAGCTTGATCACTTGAGCTGCACCTCCAGTCTTTTTTGTTTTTGTTGTTTTTGAAATAAAATCACATGCATATCCAGGTCATCCTGAGCCATAGTCCTCCTATTTATGCTTCCCAAGTAGCTGGGATGACAGGCATGTACCATCATGCCCAGCTTTTATTGATTGGCTTTGTCCTGGCTGGCATCAAACCACGATCCTCCCAGTCTCCCAACTCCCAAGTAGTTAGGATTTCAGAGGTGAACCGCCACGTCTCTTAAGCTCTAGCATCACAGAAAGTTATCACTTTGAAAAAAGATCTGCTATACCACCACATAATTTGTGA